CGGGGGGTAGGGGGGATGGGCGCTTATTAGCACGCGACGCCGGAGAAATTCTTAATATCATTATGAAAATATTTCCGGCTTTAATGAGCTTTTTCGCGCGAAAACGAGTGAACTGCTTTGCGAAGCCTCTGCCCTCCTGTTGCTAAAGGAAGTCAGCTAGGAGGTTGGAGCAAGGGCGCTGAAAGGGTGTCCGGGATGGAGACCAAGAGCTCGAGCGAGAAGGGTTAGGGGTGGGGGGGTGACAGAAATTATGGGAGAGGCCTCGGAGAGGACGTACCGTACGTGTAGGGGTAGTGCGAGGTTCTGGAGAAATTTGGGGCGCTGCTCGGCGTAGTTCCGCTGCTGGAATGGGGTAGGGGGCGGCAGGTATACAGCAGCATGTGGCGCTCTAGCGACCTTGTTAATTCACATCATCACAGCGGGTCCGGCGCACCTGTGACCCGGGCAGGTGGGGGGTTGAGGGTTCTAGGGGGACTTGCGCCCATCCCTAAGACCTGCGTAGAGTAGGCCCCTTCCGTGGAAGGCGGCGCGGCAGTTGCCCCCTCACCTGGGCCCCGCGCCGCGCCCAACAGCGAACGTCTACGACTACACCTGAAAGAAAGGGGCATGTGTGGCTTTGTCGGACAAGAAAGCTTTTGTGCTCACAAGTAATAGCTACTTGCCCCCCCCCCTCCCAAATTTCATCATATGTAGAGTGTATTTCTGCTAACGGAAGACCAGCATTTGTAGGTAAAACATAAAAGTTTCTTGATTAGTCGAGCCGTCACCCCTCATCACCTTCGAGAACGTAGAAACGGGAAGCAGTGGACCGATTGTTCGGGAACGTTTACGTTCTGCCCGCTTTTCTTCTACCTCTGTTGACCGAAGTGCACTATTTTTCGTACCGGTTGTGGCGTGGCGTGGCGTTGCGCACCACAGCAGACGCCAGAGCGCGGTGCGACACTCACGCACTCCTCAGACTCAGTCGCCACAGTCCAGCCGTCCAGTCACACCTCAATCGCCGCCCAGTTCACGTCGTCAACATGGCTTGCAAACGGGCGAACAGCCCGCGCTCCGGAGCGTCTCTCTCTCTCAACATGGCTTGTCCACCAGCAATTCGGGTCAAGACTGATGTGTTTCACCATGCCCCACCTCTGCGCTCGATCTTGAAATCAAAGGTACGTCACAGTCGTCATAAGTTCACTACACACCACACTAAGTTCGCGCGATTTGTCGCTCCCATGATACCCGCGCTGTCTGCCCTCGTCTTCCCAGTCGAAATCATCTATAGTCTCGTTAGCCCATAGTTTCGGGGTCAGATTGAAAGTGCATTTCCGCTGTAACAATGAGAAGAAATGAGGGCTCACTCGTACTGATTGTTCGCTTTTGTGTTTGCAGAACATGCAGCAGATGCCAGATGAGGTTTTGGCGAGGGTGATGGAAAACTTGGACGTAGAGCAGCTTTTCACCTGCCGGCTTGTCTGCAAGAGGTTTCGCGACTTCGTCCGCCACCCGGCCGTGTGGAGGTCGAGAGACATTGACGCCTCCAGCCCCGTCCTCGGCCTGGCCCCCCTGGTGCAGTTGATGAGGTGCGAGGTGAAGCACTTGGAGAGCCGGCCGAGCCAGCCGCCGCCGTACGCGACCACGGGGTGCGCCGCCGAGGAGCTGGAGCTCGACGTCCACGAGGACGCCTGCGTGCTGGCGGCGCTCGTGGTCCGCAACCAGGAGAAGCTCGGCCGGCTACGGTGCGTACAGGTACGCTACTCGCCCTGCGACGTCGGCGCGCCCATCATGCTGGAGACCCTGTTGTCGACGGCTGGCCTGGAGAAGCTCGTCGTGAGGCAGACCCTGGCTCCCTCCTCCACACCCAGCACGGCGGACGGCCCCGTGCTCTACAAGAAGGTGACGTGCGCGCCGTCCTTGGTGTCCTTTGATTGCGAGCTGTTCACACGGGAGTCGGAGGACTTCTGCAAGATCATCCTCGGGGGTCACGCCGCCACCCTCGAGGAGGTGAATTTGTGTGGGGATTGTGACTCGTTCTACTACCTCACCCTCAAGTCCAACATCAGCTCCTCGTCAGCGCTGGCCCCTCTGCTCGCCGCCTGCCCCAAGCTCCGCTCGCTCAAGTCCCCCTTGCTCCCCGGGATGGCCGCCGTCGCGGCGTGCAGCTCGCTGAGAGCGGTGCACTTCCCCGTCAGCGAAGATATGCGGCATGCGGTCCAGGACGCCGCCGACCTCCTGAGCCGCGCCACGCAAGTGCGGGAAGTCACCCTGGACTACGTGAGCTGGGCGTCGCCCGAGGTCGACGTGGGGCTGATTCGGAACATGGGGCCGTCCGTGGAGTCCCTGACAATCAGAGACGTGAGGGACTGTGGCCTGCGACAGCCCCTCGAGCGCCAGCGCGAGGACCGCCTCAAGTCGCTGCCCCGCGCCCTGCCCAACCTACCAACTCTTCGGCGCCTCGCGGTATCGGTGGCGTCCTGGTACGACGAGCTGGACGAGCTGCTGTTGGGCCTTAGTCCAGATAGTGCCCCGGCCCTGCGGACCCTTGTCCTCGAGGAGTACTACAACCTGGCGTCGCACGCCTGCGCTCACGCCTGGGTACACAGGGACTCAGTGAGAAAAGTACTCAGAGCCAACCCCACGTTAAGAGTAAGTGTACCTAACTTACCAAAGTGCTGTCCTGAAGGAGAAGCATGCAGTGAGTGTGACCGCTGTGATTTCTCAAAATCATCTGAATGTCAGAAGTTATCTGCTCGTGTTTTGACATTTAAAATTTAGTCAATTTGATTTTCATTAATAATACCTTGCTTTGCACTTTTTAATCGTGGTCCAGAAACCTAGTCGCTTATGTGTTATTTTGTCAGTGATTTGTTTTATATTGTGATTATGCCACAGTTGCGTGTACTCTTAGATCATATTGTTGCTCCCTGGGTTAAAAAAATGTGTCAAACGTCTCAGACAGCGGAATGACCGAGTTTCTCTGCTTGTTAATCATGCAAGTAAGTCTGCCGTCTCAGTATTTTCTCTATATTTTAGATGTTTGTTCACTTTATTCTGTATTGAATTTTATCAGTTGTTATTTTATACCTTTCACTTATAGATTATGAATAAATATATTTTATGAATTTTACACATTGAGTGTTGATCTCCAAAGTACTTGTGCTCTTTTAATTCAACGTTAATAATAATTTTACGGCAAACTAATCTTTCTGAAAAAATAATTTCACCCACATATAACCTTTATTTTCAAAATTCGTTACTTTCAAGAATAGTAAGCTAAGTAAGCTAAAAACTACATGCAAACATGGTTGCAACAGGTTTGCGCAATTCTTGTTTCATTTTTTTTTTTTTTTTTTTTAAGCTAAAAACTACATGCAAACATGGTTGCAACAGGTTTGCGCAATTCTTGTTTCATTTTTTTTTACCAAATAACTTCAGGACAGTAATGGTGGGGTGTGAGGGTTTGAAATTCGGGCATTTCTCTAATAAGGCAAAAGGTTCGCACTACTGTATCTCAAGCAAGCAGGATACAGGAAGGGTCGGGTTGGGCTCATTGCCGCCGCCGGTATTCGAACTCGTCGCCACCGAGCCCAGCGCGCCCAGGACGCGTGACGCCGCCGCCGCTCCCTATCCTCCGAAAATAACAATGGCATTCCTGTCGTGCCTCGTGGAGGGGTTCGTAAGGGGGTAGAATTGAGCTAGGGGCAGATAGGATAGGCCGTGGGCGTTAGGGTGGGGAAGGGGGAGGGGAGGGGGGTGAGCATTCCGCTCGTGATTGGTGAGCGAGTGGAGCGGAGGGAAATGTCTGTTTAAACTGTGGGTGTGGGCGCGCTCAGTGTGGTTGTTCCCGCACAACCCCGTCGTGCGATTGAGGTCCCCTAACTTTAAAAACTTTTGATCCCGGATTGAGCACGCAATTTATTCCTGACTGGGTCTACTTCGACCGCAAATTTTACGAGTCTGGTGCATGCTAGAGGCAAAAAATTAATCGGTCCCGTGTTCGGGACATTACTGGCTACGGGGAAAAGATCAAAGAAAACTTTCACATTTGCTGTATCCGTTCCAAGGAAATTGTTTTTCTCACAAAGACCTCTTTATGACTTACGAGGTCACAATGAGGTATTCGTGAAAAACACATGTTCCTTGGAGTTCGTCGGAAAAAATTCTCGATGATTATCATTTTTGGTAAGAACATGCCTAGCGTTAAAATGGCTGGAAATCGCTGAAATAGGCGTGACGGACGGACATTCTTGCTTTTCGTAACTGCCACTACTTCGGAACACAGCGCTCCGTGCGGCCGCCACAGCAGCCTGAGCCTGGTCGATCATCAGATGTGTCAAATCAACACTTGTTGACGGATGGCGGAGAGAAGATGTGTGGTTTAGATCGTGCAATGGTGCAGGAATTGGGATCGGTAAGTTTTGATATTTCTATCGACGCTCGATGACGGACGTGTTACGTTAGTGTTAATAAAGCTCCTTTGCTGTTTGTGTTTAGTTATCGTATACTGACTTTTGGTGGACTGACGGATGGACTGATGGACTGACCGGCGGGTGCTATAGCAAGGACGCAAGGTTTCTGAAACGAGGTGAGTAGGAGGTCGTATTCTGATTCTGATTACGTATTCGATTGCTTTGTCTATCCAGGGACACAAGAAAATGTGCACAATCTATGTTTTGAATGAGAAAAACGCCCCCTGATTTCGTACGTGTTGTACGACGACGTAGTCGTCTGATTTCATCCTATTGTCTGTCCGTCACGTAAATTAACATGGAGGGGGGGGGCTTTAGTATTCGAACCACTGACCCTACTATGTGTGTTGATCGCGGTACAAAAAAAAAATCCGTCTTTAGATTCCCTGAGAGTTCGCAAAGTGTTCAAATATTTAGAGATATGCTAAAAACTGCGAAAAAAATCGTACAAATGTCCATCCTACACGCGTATGGCTTTGCCCTATTGCTGTGTTTCGCCTTGTTACAGCCCGAAATCTGTGCGTTATGTCACGCTCAAACAGAGGGCGTTACAATTGCGACTTGCGCCCGTGTTTTCCTTGGCGGCGGTGGACCTGCGTAGTTGAGACAGCCCTGCGCTCGCCGTTACGCCTCCCTGACGAGGCAATCTGGCGGACCGCTATGACCCATCACAGCCTACACTATCGCCCCCAGCGCGGGGTGATTGGGGGTCGAAAAGAGATGGGGGGGGGGAGGGGTAGGGGGCAAGGTAGCTCCGGGAGGGGACAGAGCGGGGGCTGTGCGACCCGTCCTTAACGGCCAAGGGGCCAAGTGGCCTCTCTGATTGGCCAGGGGTAAAAATAAGGGGGTAAACGGGGGAGGTAGAGGACGCGGGGGGGGGGGGTAGTTTAATAACGGCGGCGCCGATAGCGCGGCGGTGGTACCCCCCAGGGAAAAACTAGAGCGGCCGGGGAAAGGGGAGAAAGGAAAGGGGGGGGGGGCCACAGGCGTCGACGGAAGTGTCTTGTTTTATGATCGGGCGGGGCTGGGCCGGCGGGCGGGGCTCCACCCCCACAGGACGACGCTTTGGGGGAGCTTTGTGGTCGCCGGGAATGGCGGACGGGGGTAGGACTCGGGGGCGTCCAGGGCTTCGCCCAGACGGGGCAGCGCGGCGTCGGAGCGGGTGGTGGGTTGGAGTTGGGGGTGAGGTGGGGGGTGAGGGGGACCCCCCTGGGATTTACGACTTGCTAATCCGGGGGTTGCGTCCCCGACGTCCCCGAGCGGTCATCGCGTCCCGGTCGGCCTTTTTGGCGCAGCGTCCCCGTCCCCCTCGGTCACCAGCGGCTAATCAATCATGAAGGCTGCGCGCGGGCTGTGCTGTGCAGTGCGGGCCGCGGGGGCCGCGGGGCGGGGGCGGCGAGCAGCGATGTAGTGAAACACCGGCGCGCAACACCTCTGACGGCGCCAGTGGGAAGTGACTGACCGCTCATGCCCACACCGCATCGCCATGAAATACGCAGGGCCCTCGAGTTTCTTTTTCACTCTAAAGTCCCCAACCCCCGCAAAGTTTCAATTTTTCTCAAAACATTTATATGATGCGGAGGGAGAGGAGTTTAGAGCTTTTCCGTGCGTTTGCCCCCCCCCCCCCTTTCCTCCTCCCCACCCCCATTTCCCAAGCTGTCGGGCTAACAACCGAGAGCGCGGCGCGGACGGGACGACGGGGCAGCCGGCTAAAGTTTGCCGCCTCTCAACATTACCAGAACAACACTTTTAATTAGTGTTACTCGGCCAACATTTTTAGGCGTGGCGCGTCCGTAGCTCCAGCCGGCGGTGGGCGGCACCACCCCGCTGGACCGGCGGTTGCGGGCGTCGCACCGCGGCTCCTGGGTGGACCATAACATCCGCCGCCGCGCGACCATACTTACTCTCTCACCGACGCACAGTCAGCCAGGGCGGTAGGCAACTGGGCGCGCCACGGTGCGTCGCTGTTGGAGGGGTTGCCTACCGCGACGGCGCTCATGAGGCCGCGCCGCGCAAGCTGGCTGGTCTCCCTTTCCCTCGCTGACGAACGGGACTTTTGGAAGGATATGTTTGGATAAGGACATGTTTTGCTGGTGTGAAAAGATTCTCAGCCAATGTGTGGTGGATACAGTTCTAAACAAATTAGCCTTGTCTATTCAGTTAATTCTTTAACGCCCCGGTGCTGAAAAATTAGCAGAGGTTCGACTTTCTTCTGCGTGTGTGGTAGAATCACCCACCGTGGGTAGCATGAAATCATTTATTGGCACAAAACGCCCACTTTTACCTGCTTGGCTGAGCACTTGACTCCCGCTCCGCCCTCGTGTCGCTGGGCAGCAATAAGGGAGGGTGCGGCGGGCGCACCCCTGCCCTGCCCCCTGGCTCAGGAGGGATAACGAGTCCTGCGGAAGGGCGGCCCGGGGAGTCCCCCGGGAGCGACAGCTGACATGCGGCGGTGCGTCAGCCAGCGTCAGCCAGCGTCAGCGCTGTTCGGCTGAAACGTACTGGCGCGCATGCCGCGGCGGGACACGTGACGCGGTGTCGTGCTGTGAGCTGCTGCTGCTGTGTGTCGTCAGATAACGAGGCCGGCTACCAGGAATCAATCAACTCGCGCATCGCGCAGCCAGACAGTTTCTGTTGGTTTGAGTATTTCATATATCATATATATTTTCACAAGTAAGTTTCAGTCTTACAGCCGGCGCGGGGACGCCGCCACCCGGGCGAGCCCGCCGCGCCGCCCCCGGAGGCCGCCGCCGCCGCCGCTCCTCCCGCGCCGCCGCCGTGCACCGCCACCGGCGCCCGCCGCTCCTGCAGCCAGCGGTGCCGACGGTGCACCTTGAGGTGCTTCGTCAAGTGGTCGGAGCGTGCGAACCGCTTGTCACAGATCTTGAAAGAAAATGGAAGGAATAATGAAAAGCATTAGTGTACTGATCCAAAATAGCCGTTCGTTCATTTCGCAAATTTTCAAAACTTATTTGATTTATTATACGCTTTAATTGTTTCGTTTTGCCGGTCAGGTAGTCAGCAGTCACACTCATATACAGCGGGCGATTTATACCCCTTAGTCCTGGCTAAAGTCCTGGGCGATGCTCACCTTGCACTGGTAGGGCTTGACGCCCGAGTGAGAGCGTCGGTGCCGGGCTAGCTCGTCGGACCGCGAGAACCTCCAGCCGCAGCCGACCCAGGTGCAGGCGAAGGGCTTTTCGCCGGTGTGCCGCCTGAGGTGCGCCTTGAGATGCGAGGACTTGGCGTACAGCTTGCCGCACTCGCCGAACGGGCAGGGGAACACCTTGTCGTCCAGAGCCGCAGCGCCCACGTCCTGCTCGGAGGCCGCGGTCTTGAGCTGCTTGCTGTAGTCGTGGGCGGCGAGGGCCAGGGCCGCCTCGGTGCTGCGGTGGCCTCCGCCGCGGCCCCGGACCACAGCCGGTGGTGGTGGTGGCGGCCTCGGCGGCGTCGGCCGCGAGGAGGCTGGTAGGGTCTGCGTCCACGGGGACGCCGCGGTGCCCGTACGGCACGTCTCGGACGGATCTGCACACGGCGACAGGTTTTGCTTGAAATTCAAGGCGTGGATTAAGGGGGGTGGCGATCGCCCCCCTGTCGTCTCTAGAGAGCCGCCTGAAAGGTAGGCAATTTGCGCCACAAACCCTCTGTATGTAGGCAACCGGCAGTGCACCCCCTGTCAGCCGGACCTTAATCCGCGCCTGTGAAATTCGAGGTCATTTTACGAATGTGAAGGACGGTTGGATAACTCTAAGAACGGCCCTTGAAGCCCCTGACTGTCTTGAAACCCTCTGCCTTGAAGTTTTCGTTTCGATATGGAAAGGGGTTGGCTTATTGGAATACCATCGTTGAAGTTCATGACCTCGAATTTGTGCAGACGTGCAGGGTCGCTGGAAAATTGCGACTTTCTCTTCAATTTATGATGGCAACAAAAATCACAAAGACGAGCAATCGCCGTTTCACACGCACAATTTGGCTCGCACAAAAGTGCACCTTCCGACATAGGCAGATCACCCAGTAAACCTCTACTTTATGGAAAAGAAATTCATTTTTGCTGTAACGGAACTTTCGTGCGAGCGTTAAGCTGAAGGACAGTGTTCTTTGAATTGACGAAAATTTCGTTGGTTACGGCAAAGTGATGGTATCGTTTCATTCCCAGAAAGATACGGGGTTTATCAGTGACCCGTTTTTCGTTCTTTATACAGGATGGTTGTTTTGCTCCGTTGCCGCGAATGAAAAGGTACTTGCTCGCAATAGCTCGCATGCAGTTGGCTGGGTTTGCAATTTGCCTAGCGAATCTAAGCGCCGCCGGCGCCGTGCTAACAGGCAACCTGGTCACACTCCTGGATCCGGGCTAGTATACCCGCTTGCTGCAACGAGGAGGGCGGGGCGGGTGTATCCATGGAAAGGGCGGCCATTTCTCATTCTGCACGTACCTGAGTAGTGGCTGGCGAGGGCGGGGAGGTCCACGCCGAGGACGACCATCCTGGGGGCGTACGCGGCGAACGCCAGCTCCTGTGCGCTCTCCTGCAGGAAGCCGTCGCAGAACTCGGTGCACAGGGGCGTGCGCTCGGGCAGAGGCGAGGTGCACGACGAGCCCTCAGAGAGGGAAAGCGACAGCGACAGCGCGCCGCCGTCGCCTAGCAGGAAGTCCAGCTCCGAGTCCAGCTCGGAGAACTCGCCGGCCCACGAGGACGTGGACGTGGCGGAGCCTGAAAGCAGGCGGGCGGTGCCGGGGTTCAAGCTAGCGCCCATCTTCGTCCAGATACGTTGGTGGGGGGGACGATGTCCACGGGACCCACCTGGAGTGCTGCACGTGTCGGGCCAGAAGTGACAGCCCACCCGGGCGGGGCTCAGCGGCACTGCAGGGCTCAGGTTGGCGTCGTGGGCCAGCAGCATCACCGGGGGCGGGTCGGGGTACTGCCCCCACGCCCCCGGTGGCCCCGCCCCCGCCCCCATGCAGCCCGCGGGGGCCGACACGGGCACGGCGGCGGGGGCTCCCCCCAGCAGCGGGGGTAGACTGAAGAGGCCGGCGAGCCCCAGGGACGAGTCTGGGTCCGAGCAGACCGCGTCCATAACCTGGAAGCACGCACACAACACGTCCAGGAGGGGTCGGGGGGTGACGGCTGACACAAAGCAGGGGAGCTCATCCCTCTGCGGAAACACCTGCGCCGCGCCACGACAAACCCTGTGAATAAGTGGGGCGAGCCGAGCGGGGCTGTTTACCGTGTCAACCCGGTATTCACTCGCGGGCCATGCACCCACCTGGCCACCTAAAAAGTGACGAAAATTAAATCACGGCTGTCTAACGGGACGCGACCTTCCCTGGACCCACCTGCACAGTCATGGCAAGGCGACTGACCCTCACGGTTGGTTAGCAGTTAGCAGAGCCCCCCGACCCGGGTGCTCAGCCGGCGGCCAGTCTTTGGGCTCCCTAGGGGCAGGGGGTCAGAGCGGGACCTCCAGGAAAGAGTAAGGCCCTGGATCGGGCGGCGGGTCGGGTCGAGGCTGAGGCGCGGCGCGGGGCACGGCCAGGCACGGCGCGGGGTGTCCCGGCACATACTGAGCACATGCTCTTCCAGTACTTTTGCCCGCTATCAACACAAATACAAACCATTCATGCCGGGGCGGGCTGCGAGGGCCCGCGTCGTCGCCGGGCCGGGTTGGCGGAGCTGGCGGAGCTGGCGGAGCTCAGCCACTCTCCTTCGGCCGGCCCCCTCCCCTGCTCCTGCTCTACCCCAGCTTCCACTTCCTCCTAACTCACTTGCTCACTTCCGCGGGTTCAAAGTCCTGCTCGGTCCTTCCCCCATGTCCGAGTAGTCTCTGCGACGCGGGGCGGGGCGAGCAGAGCTGAGCGCACCGAAACTTCAATATGCAACACAGCACTCGAAAACTTTGGGTCGCGCCCGATTCAATGTCACTTCATATCTTCCGAGATTGCCCCTTGTTGCTGCCGCCGGCTAGTCCTCCGTCGTCACATATCCGGCGTGGCGTGGCGGGGCGTGGCGGGGCACGGCGCGGCGCGGCCGGGCGCGGCTCCAGGGGACCTCAGCAGCTCTCCGCGGGGCCGAGGCAAGGCGAGCGCGTTTCCGCCACGCTGTCTGCAGTTGATAGGGGAATGGACTGGAGTGGAATAGTTGCGGCTCTCGGCTCGGCTCGACGTCGACTCCACGTCGTCCTGGCCCTACGGGCTCCGCCAGGCCCACAGCCGCCGCCGCCGCCACCGCCTCGGTCGCAGCAGCAGCAGCAGCAGCAGCAGCCGTGGCGGGCTGGGCAATGTGGCTTTGTTGTTCACAGGCAGGGGCATGGGCATGGCCGGGGCCTGGCACTGCCGATGCCTTGCCCCTGTTCGGTACTTTGTGTCCTCCACATCCACACCGCCCCATCCCCCCTCTTCCTCGCAGATCAGAAACAGACCACCACCGCTGCCGTCATCCCACGCCTCATCCCAATACAGATAACGAGTCGCTACCTCCGCTATCACAATCTGGTCCTCACGGGATATTGAACAGAACCACCTCCCACCCCCTTACCTCGTCGCCCTCAGCGCGAGGACGAACTAACACACTGAGCGAGCACGCAGCAATAACTGTGCTGGTTGCAGTGCGCAAGACCAGAAGCCTAATTTGGTATCCCCCTAAACAGGCAAATGAGTGTGGTTTTGTTAATAGAAAAGGCCGGTGTGTGAGTGTCTCAATAGAATCTATTTACTCCACTTTTTACAGTTATTTACAAGAGATATTTTACACAGGCATTTTGGTCCTGGCTCCTTCCACATCATAAAACATTTATAATTTCAATTAACTATAACATAACATTTATACATTCTGTCTGAACTAAAACACACAACGGACACTTCCATACATACATAAATCAGTCAGCAAAAAAATAATATCAGCTGGAACTATGAAATTGAATAAGGATTCCATAACCCCCTTGAGTATAAATCCGAACGAAGAATTGATAAATTTTACAAAAACAGTACTCTTGAGAGATCACAGCATGTGGTCATGATGAAATTGTACTGCACGAAATCCTTACAGACATGCTAGATAAATATAATTGATGAAAGTGAAATGTGAAACTCAAACACATTCATAACAATAACGAACAGAATAGATAACAAGATAAAACTAAGTGTGGAAGCAGCCTGACAAGAAAATACAATTATCTGTAATTCAACAGGAACAGAAAATAAATGTTTCATTTATGTATCAACATTCTTTTACAGTACGTTTTATAAGACTTTGCCTCTGACCACTATTAAATAAAACAATGTCTTTCATCACATAAATTCTTATCTGAGATACTTTTTGAAACTTAAAATGAATTGATGGTCTGTTCTATTAACTAAAAGAGTCATCACATGAAGTTTGCATGCTTAAAATGATGAAGGGATCAAATGAAACCCATTGACCTCATTCTGAAAAATGTGTTTAAAATGTAAAAGTGCAAAACTAATACTGGGCATATTGGCGTTGCTTACAAACAAAAGTACAACATGGCCTCCACAATTAAACACAATTCTCACCTGAAATGATATGGAGAGAGATAAAGCTTACGCATGTGCAAATAAAATATCGATTGAAAATGGATCACTGGGATTAAAGCTAAGCTACTTGCAAAATGGAAAGAGGTTGGCACCACAAAATCTTGACACTAAAACAATTTCTTTAAAGTAAAAGTTAGCTTTTACTAGACTAAAAATGTGCACAGCAAGGCTCAATAGAATACTTTGATACAAATTCAAAGTCCTTGAAATACCTTATACAAAGTACAGAACAGCAAAAAGCTCAACTATACAGCAGTGTTGCTAATAATAGAGACACATTCTTGTGAAAAAATATTCAATACTTCTGCAGAAGCTGGCTGAATGATCCATTCACAGAAATTTAGAATAAAATGAGTACAAAAATATGTGATGGAGAAGAGAATGACTGAATGAGATCATAACGTACATTTGAGCTTTCCCCTTGATTGATAAGGTTGTGGCTTCCCAAAAATAACTACACATCTGAGAATTTCAGATTAATAATTAACGTTTAATAATAAGAATTCTCATCAAAGATTTCTTGTATCATGGTGCATGAACACCAATCATAAAATGTTTGAAGAGTTTTCAAATCACATACCAGTCTTTACAATTCTTCATTCTGAGCAAACATTAACGGTCCTCCAATATAAGACTAAGCCAGACAGTCATTTGTAATCAATTTCAAACAGCAGAATTCAGAAAGCTTCTTAAGAAGTTTTGAAAAATGCAAAGAGTTCACAAATATTCAAGAAGTTTCTAATACATTAAGTACAAAGTAAACATTCAACTTGAAACTACACCAAACATTAAGAATTAAACAAATTTTCAACAAACACGTTACAGGTAGGTGCATTTAGTACTCATGAGTGAATTTGTTATAGTACTAGGCTATTAATTTGAGCCTGGCAAGAAATGTGTGGATTATACATTAGCTTTAAATGACACATAGACAATAGATAAAAACACATGCTAGACTGTAAGGTAAAATACAGTTACATAAAATAAGACAGTGACCATTGATAAAACAGCAAACAGTTTATGGAAAAAATGGAGCTAAATTGATACAATCTTGGATACATCTGAAATGTCTATGTCTAGAGTAAAAACACAATGCAATAAGACACGTAATACACCAATAAAAGTCAACTAGAGAAATGGAAACCTGTTAGCTACATAATTTGTACTGAATTTAGAGAATAGGTAGATGTCAATTGACTATACGAATGTTAAAAAGCCAAAAACTACAGTTTTTTGTAGTTATTTGACTTTTTCAACCGTCTGAAATTAGACTTGCTCATTGTGTCCTTGCCTCTTAATATTCCACAGAATTGATTTGAACATTGACCACTAATATTTAAGAGTGAAACATCAATTACAAAAGTTGACAATTTTAGATAGCACCATCAAATACAAAAGAATGCAGCAATAAGCATTAAAAAATTGTAAATCCCATTTCCAGCAAAAGTCTATCATCGCAAACATGAGATTCTCATAATTACTCACACCACCAAATCAAACAAAACAAACAAAAGATGACTGGAAGGAACTATTGGACTTGTATGCACTCACAACAGAAAATGGCACATATTTTCGCAGTCAATATAATAATGTACAAAATTGCAAGCAACATCATTAAGTTAACAAAAAAAATGAAGATGCTATGTGCAAAACAAATATATATTTATATATGTAACATCCTAGATTTATCTGTAGACACAGATAATGGGCTAAACTAAAACCTATCTGTAAAAGTTTCAGGTACAGATCCGTAAATTATAAATTAAAATATACACTTATCACTGGTATAAATTAAAACCGGTTCATGGACATGAACTGCTCTTCATTGTTGCTGCTAAATTTCATTTCTCAGAACATGTGGCACTGTTACATCACAATAGATTAGTAAGTTACGGTACTTGATACAAACACATGTTATATAAATAATTACAATATCAACAGAAACAATCATAACACTTTATACATGCAAGTGGTGCTCGCAGGAACTAAAGAAAAAGAATAGAGCCAAGGTTCGAAAGTACAGCGAGTCTCGACAAAGGGGAAATAGGGTGAGCATGTTGAAACGGAAGGTTCCGTCCAGCAATTGTTGAACATTGACACAACTTGTCGCAGGCTTAAAATAACAGCAGGGCAGGGCGGAGCGCACCACTCACTTAAAATCACAGATCACGACAGGAATCACTACATCACAGTCTCGGATTACTCGGCCACGCCGGGCGTGCTGTGCGGCGCGCTGTGCGGCACGTACCCGCTCACGACAACCGGCCGCACGCCTCTCTCACCCACCCGGCAGTAAGCCTTAGGGGGCTGGGGGTCCAGGACAAGCAGCGCTGCGTTCCTCGCCATGTCCCGCTCCCCTGTGAGCACGTACTCGTGGGCCTGCTTCGCACCCGGCACCACGACACTCTGCTCAGGTTTGTGTCTGTCCCTGAGCAGCCCGTTGTCCTCAGTCAGCATATACCCGTTGCCCAGGGCGGTGCCTAGGGCGGGCTCTGTCCGGCTAGGTCTGATCCCACACTCCCCTGCCATCACATATCCCCCACTAGTCGGCCGCTGCTGCTGCAGGCGCGCGAAGGGCTCGTCCCAGCTGCCCTCGCACTCCGGTGTGAAGGCCTGCTCCTTCGGCACATGTCCCGTCTGCACGTAGCCCTTTGGCGGCTGCGGCTGGGATTGCGTCTCCCACAGCATGGAGGGCGGCGAGTGCGCCACGTAGCCGTGCGCGCCCGGGGCCAGCGCGGGGACGCCCTTGGGCAGCACCTTGGCCGGCACGACGGGCGCTCGCAGGGCAGACGCCGCCTCCAGGCCGACGTACCCGCGGACCGACTGCGGCAGCGGTACGGACAGCTGCACGGGCAGCACCTGCGAGTGTTTCTCCGGGATGCTGCTGGAGCTCGGCCAAGGCAGTAAGCTCATCACCGCGTAGCCCGGCTCGATCTCCGACAAGTTAGGGGTGCTGCGCACGCTCGACCCCGAGCCCTTGCCGCTGCTGCCCTTGCCGCCCACGCACGCGTACCCCTCGTTCCAAGTGGGACTCTTGTTTGCCGGTGCACCGCGCTGCCCCTTGCCCACAGAGCCGGAATCTGAGCCGGACCCTGCCTCCCAGGATGGGTCACCAAATCCCTGTTCGTTCTAAAGAAGAGAAAGAAACAAATAGTTAAGTGACTCATAGTTTAATGAACAAGTCAGCTTCAAAGAATGGTTTACACTTAGTTTTAAATGTTTAATTATTTTTTACTTACCCTGTCTACTTCTGTTCCTGAATCGGATGATATGTGCGTGCCTGAAGTTGCAGAGGAACTAACACTCTCATGGCCAGAGCTACATCCACTGCTATCTCCACTCATGTTGCGGTCATGGTGATGATCGTCTTTCTGCTGAAGCAAACGCTAGAAAAGAACAAAAAAAAGGACCATTAGTTTAATGTATTACAAACATAAAGCTAATCAACAAGAATTGAAATAAAAACAATAACATAAAACAGAGGCTTACCTCTTCGTCAGCAGCTGGGCGAGGTGGCTTAGGTGGCCATTGGTCCAGGCCGTAGTCCTCCTCCTTCTCCTCAGGTGGTGGCTGCGGGGAGAACAAAACTTTACTTAACAAACTACATGGCCACCAGGCGTACATGAAGTCAAAAATAATTTCAAGTAAAATAGAGTTGTTTGGACAAATAATTATTTTATAGGATTCTTACCAAAGGTATAATTCCGTGTGGTAATTTGACTTCAACATGCCGCATGTCCTTGCATTTTAACCAAATCCTGTAAGTAAATGAAATGTCAAGATAAAACAAAAATCATTTTCTCTCTCTAGAAGTGATTTGTCTACTTAATTAAAATAACAATTAATGTGTGTTACATGTCATACCTTTTACCCAAACAAATTATCATACAGCTGACAGTAACAATCAATGCCAACATTAAGACATAGATGAGAATCTTAAGGTACTGAGGAAGGTCTGTAAAAAAAAAATTAAGTTATTAACATCATGTCTAAATAATCACATAAGGACTGTGCGTGACTTGAAGGTTTAGTTAGATAAATACCATTGGTGTAGCAGCTGCCATCCTGTACTTTACTCCACTCTCCTTTAAATGTTTTAGTAGAATTGCTAGGATCGACATTGACAGCTCGCACAGAGAAGGAATACGGTTGGTTTGATTCAGAGCAACCCTCAATACGAGTTACTAAAGAATTGTCTATTAAAAAAAAAAAGAAAAAAATTATGGTAAAAATCTCCAGTAAAGAACTGCATTTCAAGTAAAAATATTAAGAAGCAAAAGTTAACTTTGAGATTATATAGAGAGGACTTACTTTCTGTTCTAAGAACTTGTGCTGATGAATTATCGCCTCCAGGCACAATCATGACTTCATAGTAATCAAGAAGACCTGAGGGGCGGGCAGGTGGATCCCAACTTATCTCCAGTACTGACTGGTTGAGATGTTGCACATGAGGACAATTGGTCATTCCAGGTTCTAAAATGGGAAGAGGGTTATAAAAGGAGTCATAAACTATAGTACTTCAATCATGTAGATAAGAAAAGTAAAAAATATGCCAAACTTACGTCCAACTTTAGTTTCAGCTGTGAGTGGTGGAGACTTATCAGAGCATGCAAAGGTGCAAGCTGCCACACTGATACTGTAGTTGTAGTAACTAGTAAGGTTCCTTAAAACCAACTCTTGCTTGACCCTGTTGTCATTATCCTTTGTTTGCACTTTGCCATCATAATGCACCTCATACTTGGTAATGACACCATTCCTTTCTTCTGGAGGATTCCAAGTAATTGTGATGGTTGTATTTGTGATATTGATAATGGAAACATTGGTTGGCGGAGTGGGAGCTGAAATAAACAAAATTGTTGATGAAATCCATTAAGATTTAGTAAAAAATAAGTGAAACGCAAAGTTTGCATCTACTGGGCTTTACCTGCTTCAAGAGTAACATTATATAAGGGGTCACTTGGTAAACTCTCGCCACCACTGCTCAGCACAGCAATAGAAATACTGTACGTAGTGTATGGTCTCAAGCCAGTAAGATTAGCTGAACTCTGTTGCGGATCCATAACAGTGACATTTTGACTGGGGCCTGAAAAAATTACACAAGATGTGATCAACAGGAATAAATGCTATAAAATAACAGATAGTGAATATGTAAGAACAAAAAGTAAAACATTTAAACAGTGAACTTACTCTTGCATTCTGGTCCTTTGTGCTGAACTGGGCAGTAATAGATTCTAAACCCAACAACAAGTCCATTTCTGTCCAAGCAATCCAAATTCCAAACCATTTCCATGAATGTTGATCCAACCTTCTTAACCCAGACATTCTTCATCTTTTGAATGGCTGTAGGTGAATAGAAAAGTCAGTAATAATATCTATTAAGTTAGCTTGAGATGCCAAAGCAGGAATAGAAACAGTATGACTCACGTTTGTTGTACAGAATTGTGCATGAGGCCCAGACCATGCCGCTACTAGCGTTGCGTGTATTTGCTGACACAGCAAACTGATAGGGTTTGTCGTCTTCAACTGTCATGTTCTTAATTGTTATGTTGCTCGAGACATGAGTCCAATTCAAATACCCCTGCACGAAGAGAGGGAAAAATAAGTTAAAACATTCAAAGGACTAAACAAGAATCGCCAAAACACAAGACTTACAGAGCACATGTGATCATAAATGCTGTCACACCAGAATATAGTGTAACTATCAATCTCTTCTTGATCTGAGGGGGGCTTCCAGGACAATTCGTAAGTGCCATTTTCATAAAATACTTTGGTTACAGAGAGAGGTCCAGGAGGAACTGAAAATTTCAGTAGAGATTAGATAAATACCACAGAACAACAATTTAACCATTTTCAATTGCAGATTAACATTGGAGCTAAAAAAATTACCTTGCACACGGCTAGGTATGACGATTTCACTCTTGTTTATTGACTGGCCTTCTGTGTTTACAGAAACAATGTGAAATCGGAAGTTCTTGTTGAGATCCATTTTCGAGTATTTGGCATACTTCTTAGTCAATTCTGTCGGATCCTTAAATCTGATAGATAATAAAACACAATTGATTATTAACAAGATAGTATTTCAATAAAAAGACCAAAGAAAGATAGTTAACCAACTTACACTGGTGAATTATTTTCATCATTAATGTCGATTATTTTATAACGGAACATATCTCCATTCTGAAGATAATCCGGAATAGTTTGCCAATAAATGTAAATATCACGGCTATCAACATGGTTGAAAACTTCAAAGCTGCCAATGTCTGTTCTTGGAGGTGCTCCAGGCAGATCAGGCAAGGTCTTGATAGTCATAGCAGCAGGAGCTGACCACAGGCTATCATCATTGGAAACTGCCTTGGCAGATTTCAGGTACACTCTTATGTCATAAAATGTATTAGCATATTTCAAGGAGGTGATATTTAATGTATGTTTCTGTTCTTTTGAGTCATTCTTCTTTATGATTCTGGATGTATTAACACTATGCCATGACTCGCGAGACTCCCACTGAGGCAGAAATTCTACACGATGGATGAGTCCAGGAGGGAAGTTTTGCATAGGGTATGGGATAACCCATTCAAGATAAACACTGGATGATGTTTTTTTGCTTGATCTGAATTTCTCTGGTTTTGCTGGGATCACTGTAAAAATGTAAAATATGAATACACTTTGAAACAGAAACACAAAATTTAAAAAGAAAAGCAGTAAAAAGTAGAATTAGCACTAACCATGAGCATAATGATTGAATTTGTGACTGAAGGTTGAGTTATTGAAGTGGTTTATTGCTTCAATATGAAAAAAGTATGTTTCATATGGTTGCCGATATGGTGGGTTAGATTCTTCATTCCAAACACATTTATCTTCCTGGACATCAGTTTCTCCCGGACAGGCATACTTAATTCTAAAAAAAACAAGGGAGAAGGAAACACAAAATTAATTTTGAGCTAAAAATGGTACTTGTTCTTTACATGGTCCCTGTTACCACTCAGTGCCATTTAGTAAGGACAAATAGTTTTCTCAGCGCTGTATATTTGTAAAAGTGATGGAAGTTTTTGGTTTGAATGGATAATAGTCACAATAGAATTGAATGGGAAAGGGCGGGGGGGATTGCCAGCCCTAACGATGAGGCCCGAGGCACAGCCCCAATAAAACAAAGCCCGAGCCCGAGCTAGGGGGCGATCGGCTGGGCGGCCGATGGGACTTTGACTGAAAACCCTTAAAATTTTTGAGACACCAAGGTTCCTCATTTTGAATAG